TGGGCAAGGGAACCCCTTTACCTGTCACTCCAGAGATGGAGAGAGTCAAACACAATCAAGAAAATATTAGCTCGGTACTTTGGCAAGAAAAGAAAAAAACTACTTCTTTAATGGATTTAAAATAATACATATTAATCCTACTTTTTAGACAACTTAACTTTTGTGAATTTCTTTACCACATTTACCCTTCTTTCCTATAGGACTTCTCCTAGCCTTAACCCTGTAATAACAAGATTGCCTTAATCCGTAATTTAAAGTTCTAATATCCTTAAGTAATGGATTTTCCTATAAAACATCCTTTTGCTCACCTCTCCCCAAACTTGCTCTCTACTCAAGGTCTGCTTGTTTTATGTACTTGTGGAATTTGGGGTGCGGATGTGTGGGTGGCATAGCAGGTGTAATGAATGAGCTCTTTCTGGAACATTATAGTTGTGATTTCATTGTGTCTTTGCATCGATGACTTTAGGTTCTATTTCACCCTGACAGATTTGGACAAAGAAACCTTGGGAAAAATAACCCTTGATCCTTTCCTTCAAGGATAATAACATAAATTAAGATCCAGTGTGGTTTTGGCATTTGATTGTCAGTTTATTTAAGAAGGAAAGTGTCAATAGAACTCTATTTTTGTTTTACCAATTTTAGGTTTACTCTTTTGTCTTTATCATGGTCTTTAAGTATAAATTTTACTAAATCATTTCCTGTAAGTCTGTGCTCTGTGATATTACCTATGTGTATAAAGGACTGATTATCAGGGGGTTGGGGCTTGTGTAAGGAGCTCTGGTAGCACAGTGGTTAAAGCACTCGGCTGCTAACTGAAAGGTTCGCAGTTTGAACCCTCAGCCGGTCCGAAGGAGAAGGATATGGCAGTCTGCTTCTGTAAAGATTACAGCCTTGGAAACTCTAGGGGGCAGTTCTACTCTGTCCTATGGGGTAGGTATGAGTCTGAATTGACTCATCCACAATGGGTTTGGGTTTGAGGGGCTTGTGCGGGGACGACTTTAGCTTATGTAGTGAACAGTCTTCAGGTTTCTCCAATACTTCAGCTCAGTGGTTCTCAAACTTTAGCATGCATCAGAATCACCTGGAGGGTTTGTTAAATCAGACTGCTGAATCCTGCCCCCAGAGTTTCTCATTATGTAGGTCTGGCATGTCTAGTAAGTTCTCAGGTGATACTGACCTTGCTGTCCTCTTCTTCAATGTCATTTTCCAAACCTCCAATGTTCCCAAGAATGATACCGAGGGGAGACATTGAGGTTGAGGACTTTCATGATGTGCTACTGTGTTTCCTAATGGCACACACTATGATAGTGATAGAATAATTGCTCAAAACATATTTTCCTTACTGACATGTTTGCTGTCGTACTAAATTATAGCAAGAGGCAGAGCCCAGATGATAGCAAGGAAAAAGGGGTGGGGAAATCCATTTCCTTGTTTGAGGGCTTACAAATGTACTGATAGGTCTAAGGACTGAAAAGAGGTCCAGTAACCATCCGCCATATTGGGAGCAGCCTCAGCCTTCTCCCTAGTGTTAGTCAGGTCCATCCCTGTAACTTCCATTTAGATTTTCTGCCAGGTGCTTATCATTTATAGACTAGCGATAAAATGACTGTGGTCTCTTATCCCTTTGGGGGTCACTGCAGTCCTCCCTTGCAGTCCTCAAGGATTTCAGGCATGGTCCTACCCTGGGAAATGTGTGTCTTACTGTAACTACATTCAGCCTCCTCTGGAAACATGTTCCTTTCCGTCTAACCTTATTTCCCAACTGGTTTGGCACCCTGAGCTTCATAAAAAGTTATCTGTTCCATTTAAACCTTTGGTAATCCCTTTTTCTTTTTGGCTTTTTGGATCCAATGGATCCCATAGGTTTTGTACAAAGAAAATGTGGGGAAAGGCACCCCAACCCCTGTCACTCCAGAGATGCAGAGAGTCAAACGCAATCAAGAAAACATTAGCTCGGTATTGTTTGAGAAACAAAAGTGCTTTTAATTTTGCAAAGTAACCCCTGCAGTTTGGCCTGCTCCTAACCCACGTTAAAAACAAACAAGATGCCAGTTACATTTGAATCTCCTCTAAATATCATGCTACACTTATCATTGCCATTAACTCTTTCGAAGCTTTCTTCTTGAGAGCTGGTCTCACTAACAGTAATATTTTTCAAAAAATTTAATTTAATTAAAAAATTCTTAATTTTTAATAACATGTAACTTCTCCCCCCCCACACACAATTGCATCAATGTAATAACCTGACTATTGCCTCCTAGTGATTTTCGGATACAACTTCGTATCTCACAGGTGTTGTACAAAGAGAATCTGGGGAAAGCAACCCCCACACCCTTTACTCCCGAGATGGAAAGAGCCAAACGCAATCAAGAAAACTTTAGCTCGGTATTTGAGAGAAGGGAAAGAACAATCAACTTTTAACAAGCCTGGCAAACGCGGTTATCCCACTAATTTATCTCACAGTTTTTCCAAAACTTTTGTGTATCTTCTAAAATCTTTCTTTGCCCACCGAAGAAAGAAAACGAACAACAAAACGCCCCTACCACCGCAAACTGACTTTATCGTTAACTACATTCAGCCTCCTTTGAAAACATCCCTTTCCATCTAACCTTATTTCCTTAATGATTTGGCAACCTCAGCCTCATAAACAGTCATCTGTTCCATTGAATCCTTTAGTGACTTTAATTTTTTTTTCTTTTTGGCTTTTTGGATCCAAATCTTTTGCTTTATACAATAACATTTTAATGGCTTTATTTCCTGAGGTGTTTCTTATAGAGTGTGATATAATCGAGACATAACACCAGCTAAATGATGATTTTCAGAACGAGTGTTTTCCTGTCTGATGTGTGGATGCTCTTTCGGCTCCCCTAGGTATTGTACAAAGAGAATATGAGAAAAGCAACTTCAACACCTGTTACTCCAGAGATGGAGAGAGCTAAGCGCAACCAAGAAAACATTAGCTCGGTATTTTCTAGGCTTATAAAGGAGTCGTGCATCAACTTGGAAAAATAACATTTTAACATCATAAAAATGTGCACCTTCTTATTCAACTGAAAACACACTAAAAAAATTTTTTTTTTAAAAAGTGAGAAATGCAACATCTTGGAAAATAACATGTTAACACCATAAACGTTCACTTTCTTATTCAACTGAAAATTTACACTAAAATTAACATGACTGTGTATTTAAATTCAAATGATCATATTAAGACATAACAAGTTAATTACCAGTGTTTTCTCTCCCCTTTTACTTTACTCTGAGGTAGTCTTACATAACCAACTATAACAAATTGACTTCTAACATCCTCAATCTTCTGCTCTCCCTTATTTTTAAGGTACTCTATGAAACAGGTAATACTTTGAAATGGATGCCTTCTTTGGCTTTGATATTTTGGGGCTTTTGTGTCTGGAGGACTCTAATTTCTGTATTATCATATTGGTTTATGAAGTATGGACAGAAACCTAAAAAAAATGGTCACTTGGTTTAAAGGATAGTTCTTTCAAATTCCCTTCAGTCTCACATTTAGTGCCAAATACCATAGAATATGCTGGTGCTGGTGCTAAAATTTCTGGCAAATTCTAGAGGCTACTTTCTCCCTTTTCCTTTTAAAGTTATACTGTGCCTTTTCGCTTTTGAAAATGAAAATTACATTTTCAAAGTCCAAGTAAGTCCTTCCTTTTCTGAAGCGAGCCCTACGGGCCCTCACGCTAAGCTGTGCCACTGTTAGTCACGTGTCTGGCTGAGTCCTTTCCGCTGATTCAAGTTTCCCTCACCACCTCCTTCCATCTCCATCTTTTGGAAAGGTCTTGAGGTTTTAGAATTAGGACAGCACCATGACCTGTACTCACTCATGGTCTCTTCTCCATCAGGTATTATATTCTGACAGCTTCCGGAAACAAATACAAGGCAAAGCTGCCTATGTCATGGACACTCCAGAGATGAGACGGGTGAAGGAGACCCAACGCCACATCTCAACGGTGAGTCAGGAATTCTTTAGAATTGATTGGCTGGCTCGTTGGAACACATGAAAAGATAAATGCTTATCCCATCATATTTTCATCAAGGGTATTCATGAAATTTCAGGTGAAATATCATGAAGACTTTGAAAAACACAAGGGTTGCTTCACACCAGTGGTGACGGACCCTATCACTGAGAGAGTAAAAAAGAACACACAGGACTTCAGTGACATTAACTACCGAGGTATTCAGAGAAAAGTGGTAGAGATGGAGCAAAAACGGAACGACCAGGACCAGGAAACTATTACAGGTAATTGAGCTCTGCGGAGAAATCAACTTTAAGGTAAAGGTGATCAGGAGAACAAAAGTGACATCTACATCAAGGCAGAGGATAAAGGACCTCAGTCTGCGTTTTTATTAGATGTGAAAGAAAGCCTCTATTATTTCACATTTTGCAAAGCTGACATTTTATTTTACCTTTTCCTTTGTTGTCCTCTGAAGAACAGACATGAGCAGAACCTGAGCTAAATAAGTTTTATTCAGTCCTCCTTTTGTTGTGTAAATTCATACTGTGGTTTCCAAGTTATTAGAAGAATCCGAAAGCACCTGTTCTGATCATTAGTTTCCTTCTTCCAGGTTTGCGTGTCTGGCGCACTAATCCTGGCTCGGTTTTTGACTATGATCCAGCGGAAGACAATATTCAATCTCGAAGCTTACACATGGTTAATGGTATGTTATGCTGCAAAGGCGTCGCCATTTAGCGGGCTAAAGTCAATGACTTTGCTGCTCTGAAGTTCCTTTTCTCCAGGGCTTTCCATTTTCTGAGCTTCCCGTTCAAAACAAAAACACCTAGTTGGCTAGAGGGCAAAACTGCATTTTCTAGACAAGTTCAAGTTAGAGAAATATTTTGTTTCGTGCTCAGTGCACATCTCCTTCAGGCCCCATTATCATTTTTTTCCCTTAAAAATACATTAAAAAAGGTTGTATATCTTTCTATTGGGGGAAATAATAGAAAAATTCATAGACAAAGAGAAGAGAATGGATTCGACGACTTTTAGCAACTTTCTGAGCTCTTTTGGGTCAGGGAAAATCATTCAAGAAAACAGCATGCAAACCTTTATGCCTTTTGTTTGTGCTAAAAAGTGGAATAATACAGTCCTTAAAGGATTTATACTCTATCGAAGTTGTTGTTAGGTGCCGTCGAGTGGGTTCTGACTCAATGCGACCCTATGTACCACAGGTGGGTAAATCAGTGGTCACACCCTGACACATGCACTTTTACAGGTCTGCTCGTGGTATTGAGGGAACATGGAGAAAGAACATCTTAATGAATTTGGAGGTTAGGGAAGACTCTCTGAAGAAGGTTAAGGTGGACTTTCAATGTGAATACTACTATGTATTCATTTTGGTGAGGCAGGAAAATGGGCAGGGTAGAAGGAGTAGTAGTTAGGCATGGACTCTTGGATTTGAACGCTGGCTGTACTGAGGATTGGAACCCACTCGCTGGCAATGGGTGTACAAAGGATGATAACCATACGTAATAAGAATCGTAAGGATTGAATCCATGGAAATCCACTTAAAAGCATGCTTAGCAAACAAACAGAGGATTCAATTAATGTTAAGCATTACCAATCAACAGTTGCCATTGAGGCAATTCCAACTCCTGGCAACCTCATATGTTTCAGAGTAAACTGTGCTCCATAGGGTTTTCAATGACTGACGTTTTGGAAATAAATCGCCAGGCCTTTCTTCTGTCATCTCTGGGTGGACTGAAACCTTCACATTTTCACTATGTAATTTTCGTCTTTTCTCCCTTTCCCAATCACATCTCTCCCAGCGCAAGCTCAGCGCCGAAGCCGGGAGCAGTCGCGATCTGCTAGCGCACAGAGCATCAGCGGCGGCGAGGAGAAGTCTGAGCATTCTGAAGCTGCCGACCACCGTCTCTCCACCTACAGCGACAGGGGCGTCTTAGTCAACGCAACTTCCCCAGGTACAAGGATGGCGCTGACTTTAATAAACACGGCCAGCCTCACTGACACTTGCTATAAGAGCCTCTTTGAGTGAAAAAAAAAAAAAAAAAAAAATCTGGGTCGTCTCTTCTAATGAGAAGACTAGAATTGTAGCTGGACACGTGAAGTTAGATGTTTCATTTTCATTAACTTTACCAGATGCTTGCTTCTTGAAAATCATTCTTTTTAAGCTGTGGAAAAAGACAACACTGCTCAGTTGCTAAACACAGATTAAATGCTGTCTGGGCACGTTTTGTCTTTATGAACTATTTCCTCCTTCCTTTCAGCTTACAAACGCGTGAAAACCACAGAGCTCCCGCAACAACGGTCATCTTCAGTTGCTACCCAGCAGACCACAGTATCTTCTATCCCATCTCATCCGTCTACTGCTGGAGTAAGTAGATAATAAATGGCTTACTCAGACCATTCTTATTGTTTGATATGTGCAATAATGGTTATAGGTATAGGTATTCTGGCCTTTAAAATTTTTTTAACTAAGCCTGTTAAAATATAATTTTAAATAAGTCTTTCTGTACACATCTCGTGTTATCAGTAATACTAAAAAACCTTCTTTACACCAAACTCGAATTAATTTAAAAAATATTATTCAGTGATTTAAAAAAAAAAAAAAAACCTAGAGCAAAGCATCACTTTGGGCTCATTGGTCTTACCCACTATCTTAAACTAATAGATTTGCCACTTGGAATCGTTCTTCAAGAATGAATATATATGTATGTACATGTGCACACATATATACATGCAATATCTTATATCTCCCCTATTAATATATGTTGAAGAGATAAGTCAAATCATGTTTAAAATTCACCAGGCTACTATAAAACTCGTAGTTCAAAACCCTTAATCCCATTCATAACATCAAAAAAAAAAAAAAAACTGTAAGAATGAAAGAAATAATATTTGTATGAAGAAAACTATCTTTATTAAACACATCAAAGAAGATCTAAGTAAGTGTTGATAGCCATTATATTTCAGAAAAGGGAATATTGTAAAGCTGTCTTTCTCCTGAAATAAATCAGTAAATTCAAGGCAATTCCAATCAGAATCCCAATAGTGACATCCAAGTAGCCAACAAACACGTGAAAAATGTTCATGATCATTAGCCATTAGAGAGATGCAAATCAAGACTACAATGAGATACTATCTTACTGGAGCTAAAATGGCACCGATCAAAAGAAACAAATAATAACAAATGTTGGCAAGCATGTAGGGAGACTAGAAAACTTATCCATTGCTGGTGGGGCTGTAAAATGGTACAACCACTATGGAAAACAATATGGCCCTTTCTCAAGAAACTAGAAATATAACTACCCTATGATCCAGCCATCCCACTCCTAGGGATATATACCCCAGAGACCTAAAAATAATGACATGAACAGACATATGCACACCTATGTTCATAGCTGCTTTATTCACAATAGCAAATAAATGGAAACAACAGAAGTGCCCATCAATGGATGAATGGATAAGCAAATTGTGGTACATAGACACAATGGAATACTATGAAATTATGAAGAACAATGATGAGTATGTGAAACATAACACGGATGGACCTGGAGGGAATAATGCTAAGCAAAATAAGTCAAACATAGAAGGACAAATATTGTATGATCTGTCTTTTATAAGAAGACAGGACTAGATATAGAGAGACCAATGTTCATTGGTGTTTACCAGGGAGAGGAGGGAGTATGCTTTAGACTGTAGAGACTTGTTATTTTTGGTGATGTGAAAAGTGGCACCGAATGTGGATGTAGTGAGCATAGCATAACCAAAGTAAGAACAAGTGTTTGAGCACATGTGGATGAGTATAGGCAAAATGGTATATGGGTAGGTACAGGTGTGCACATAGGTGAGAACAGATGTAATTATCTCTAGGTATGTGTAAATACAAATATGTGGGTGCAGGCCCATGTATTCATTGAAGACACAGATACAGATACTCCTTAAACATAACCAAACACCTTCCAAGACTGGTTTTCTGAGTTCGAAGGTTTAGGACCATAGTCTCATGGGACAACTCAGTCAGTTGGCCTAACAGAGTTCCCAAAAATCATGATCAGCATCCTAGTGAAGTGAGTACCATTTGGGGTCTTAAAAGCTTGCAAGCAGCCATCTAAGACACAACTATGGGTCTCTACTCACCAGGAGCAAAATAGTAAGAAGGCAAACAAAAGTTCAGAGAAGAAACAAGTCTACATGAGCCACGACCTCATCTAACCTGAGTAAAGATTTACAGCCTTGAAAACTCTATGGGGCAGTTCTGTTCTGTCCTACAGGGTTGCTATGCGTAGAAATTACTCGATGGCACCCAATAACAATATACATATATGGCTTTATTAATATACAATTAACATAGTATTAAGTTCAGTATTTAACGTGTACAATTCAATGGTTTTTAGTTTATTTATGGAGTTGTTTGACCATAATCATAATCTGATTTTAGAACATTTTATCACCCTAAAAAGAGAAAAAAAACAAACCTTAAACCCATCATTGGTTATTCTCCATCCCATCCTCATCCCCCCACCTAGGCAACCAACCTCTAATCTATCTTTCCCTGTAGATTTGCCTGTTCAGGACATTTTATATAAATGGCATCAAACAATATATGGTCTTTTCTGACTTTTTTTTTTTTTTTTTACTTAATATTTTGAGGTTTCTCCATGTAGTAGTAGTATGCATCAATACTATGTTTTTATTACCAAATAATATTCCATTTATGAATATAACACATTTGTTTGTCCATTCATCAGTTAATGGACATGTGAGTTGTTTCCACTTTTTGGCTATTGTGAATAAAGCTGCTATGAACACTCATTTACAAGTTTTTATGTGGATATACGTTTTCATTACTCTTAAGTATATACCAAGGAGTGGAATTACTAGGTCATATGGTAAACTCTAAGAGCCCTGCTGGGACAGTTGTTAAGCACTTGGCTGCTAACTGAAAGGTTAACGGTTGGATAAAGGTTGGCAGGAGGATGTGCCTGTTGTTTCCATGAAGATTACAGCCTTAGAAACCCTATGGGGCAGTTCTACTCAGCCCTATAGGGTCGCTATGAGTCAGAATCAACTCGATGGCAATGGGTATGGTAAACTCTTTAACATTTGAAGAACTGCCAAACTGTTTTCCAAAGTGGCTGCACCATTTTACATTCCTACCACAGTTGATGAGGGTTCCAATTTTTCCACATCTTTGCCAGCACCATTTATTTTGTTTCTTTGATTATAGTCATTCTGGTGTTTGTGAAGTGTTATCTCCTTGTGGTTTTGATTTGCCATTTCCTTGATAACTAATGACAGTGAGCATCTTTTCACGTACTTATCAGTTATTTGTGTATCTTCTTTGGAGAAATGCCTATTCAGATTGCCCATTTTTAAATTGAGCTTTCAATTACTGATTTGTAAGGGTTGTTTGTATATTCTAGATACAAGTCCCTTATCAGATATATGATTTGTAAATATTTTCTTCCATTCTGTGGGCTGTCTTTGTACTTTCTTAATTGTTGCACATTCTCTTTTTTGCAAGTTAAATTTGTAGAATAAGTTCTAGGAAATATTATGATTAGATGTTTGGGTTCATTGTTGCAAACCAAGTATATAACATTTTTCCTTTCCTTTCATCCCCACAAATAGAAAATCTTCCGTGCCATGTATGACTATATGGCCGCTGATGCAGATGAGGTGTCCTTCAGAGATGGAGATGCTATCGTAAATGTTCAAGCTATTGATGAAGGTTGGATGTATGGCACTGTGCAGAGGACGGGCAGAACAGGCATGCTTCCCGCCAACTATGTTGAAGCTATTTAGGTGCTTCAAAGCATCTATCACGCCTATCAGCCAGACTTACAAATCCTGTGGTGAATAATTGTTTAGACTCTCCACTATCACCCGTTCTCAAGCTGCCTAATGGTTTTTCTGTGTATGACTTATGACTGTTCCGTCCTTAATTTGTTTCTATGTGAACCCCAATAATTATCCACTAAAACAAACATTATCGTCACTAACTTTTCCAATGATTAAACTAGATTTACTTTCCTCATTATTTCCTGGACGTGCACATAAAATTTAGAGGCAACATTAAATCTTTAAGTTCTTTATTTTAAAAGCTGCCATTATTACATTTTCTTTTGGGTTTTAAAGTACGTTCAATTTCAGAATAGACATTTTGAGCTTCTGCAATGTTATATTATTGTTCCATCAAGCCAGAATCGTTCTTCATTATGAATATGTTTACCATTATCTCCTTTCTAAAACAAGGATTCTGAACATGCTAAATACATTAAAGGAAAAATGGCAGAGATAAGTCACGTTTTCCTTGCTTACTGAATGCTGATGCTTGTATTTCTAATCCAGTTCTGAAGTTATGAAGCTGATATTTAATGAAAACTGGTGATAAATTGGTAACTAATAAAATCTGGAAGTCTGCAACAAGCTCCACTGATGGAATGAGCATTATTTATTTTTAATGGTTTTTAACATCTACAAAAATTTTCAATAAAGCAAACTCCTTAGTATATTTGCCTAAAAAAATTACTCAAAACTTAAAAAAAAATAGTAGTTAAAAATGCGCACAAGTAGACCTCCTTGAAACCTTATCTGTACCACTCAGTAAGCTTTCCTTATGGCTCAGATTATAACGTTTTAGAAACAGCCATGAGATCCAAGCCTGACCTCAGGGGATCTTCTCCAGCTGTATCCAGTGGGCTGGCAGCACGTGGCAGAGTGTTAGAGGGTCCAAGTGGGGAGTGCCAACCAATAATGGCTTAATGGAAAACAGACTACCATTCCTAAAAGGTGAAAGATCTTTCCATATAACTTTGGAGCTGTAGTAACACTGCTGTCCGCATTTCTTAGTCTCCCTGAGACTCACGGAGTGTGAATGCACAGAGGGCACACTTGAAAATGCTCAGTGAGTGCACCTACTGTATGCGAGGCATTGTGCTAGATGTTGGGGTCCAAGTGATGATTGGAGCTTACAGTCCCAAGAAATGTCAGGCCATGAATCTTAACGGTGGGAGACAGGGCCACTCTCCCACTTCCAAGTCATAAATCTTTGCTTAAACTGGACTAAAAATTTAGGTTAAGCTAGACAAGAATCCTATTGTGCAATATAGATTCTCTCCAAACTTTAGAAACACTCGAAAGTATATGCTGTTTTAGTTATAACAGACTGGTTTTTAAAAAAATTTATATTCACTTTATAGGTCTGTCAAAGCACTTTGGAGTTGCTATTGCAGACACAGATGCAACTTTAATGCTCTGATTTTTTTTTAAAGTTTGGAAACATAAACTCAGTTAATCTCATTCCACCTTTACCACACCAATGCCGTTCTCCCATTATCTTAAAGTGAATCCTATTAAATCACATTTCAGTATGCATCCTTAAAGGGACCCTTAAAACATAATCACAACTACCTCGCTAAAAAATTGCTAGTCAATATCTGGTGTTCAATTTTTCCTGTGCATCTCACTTTTTCCATTCAAATTCCCTTCCCAGCTCTCCACATGTGCCATTGTTGAAAGCACAATGATACTGGGGAAGACCCTTGTGCCTACTATCACATAAACTACAGGACTGTAGGGATACAGAGGACCTCAGTGACCAGCTACTCATTCCATCCTCAAAAGGTAGTTCATAAAAACAAAGTCTGTGGGTCACACCTGAGTTCAGTTCTCATGGCACTATCCTATGCTATACTCCCGTGATATATACTTTCAATATTACTGTTTATTTTTTCAAACTTAGAACTATAGATTTAGAAATCCATGGAACCCAGAAAGCCATAAACAAAGCAGAGAACTTCTATGGTTGAAAAGCAGGCCATAAGAGGAAGAATATGGATGGTTCATGTGTTTGTGGAAGGATACAATGTTCAATTATGCTGCGATTCGGTTATTCATTTCAGGTCTCACTTAAAAAACAAAACAAACCAAGCAAACAAAAAACAAGTAACAGAAAATTGTTGACACTTCATAGCTTTATTTCAGATAAAAGTGCATTTCTTAAAAAATGTTTCATTATCCAGTTTCAATTTGCAAGTAGTAACAGTCAATTCTCAATGATTCATGAAAGGTTTTACTGTGGATCAGACAGATTCTGTCCCTCAACCCAATCATAACTAACTAGAAAACACTATATTAGTGTAGGTCTACCACTTCAAACAGTGTATAAAGCATTCATTACACAGTGAAATAGAACTGCATTCCATCTACTAGTGCAGTTAATTAAGGATTGAATAGGTAATTTTGTGAAGTTTCAATTTAAATCATTTGAAAGACCTATCAAATATATTTTGTGAATGTAAAACTAAGCTCTCTTAGAGTTTATCAAGTTTTGGGGACAAAAATATTACAGGGTTAAGAAATGACTGATTTGGCTTCTATCAGTCTTTTCCTAAGTGCTTACTGGTCAAGTCTATCCACAGGAGGTAGTGTTAAGATAGGCTGAAAGCAACTGATAACTGACCAACACAGAAAGCATACACTCCATACCTCAAACAATTTATTTCACAGGTGTGATTTCATGTTCACATGCCATGTGAGGTATCTCTGGAGCACAAGATGCCTTTCCTTCAGACCATAAGGGATTAAGGATTAAAGATTAAGGATTAAGGGATTAGAAGCCACGGCAAACATGTAACAAAGATTTGAGAGTTAAATAAGGAAAAAAAAGTGCACTTAAAGTATACCAGTATCTCCTAGTATATATGTCTTTGAACAATGGTAACAGACATGAATGGAATCAGGAGAACTGTTTTATAAAATAAAATCTAAACAGTGGTAATATAATTAAGGAATGTTATCAAGATCCCCATATTCCACCAGCTAAAAGCAAATAACCAAATTGACTACCTGCCATATATGAACAACAAAACTATTCTCTGTAACAGGGCTTGGCAAACTTTCTGTAAAGGGCCAGATGATGCATATTTTAGACTTCGCAGGCCACACAGTCTGTCAGAACTACTCATACTTTGCCTTATAATGCGGAAGCAGCTACTGACAATATGTAAATGAGCATGACTGTTGCAATAAAGCTTTAATTACAGACACTGTAGTTTCAATTTCATATATTTTCATGTGCCAGAAAACATTCCTTTCATTTTTTTCAACCATAGAAAAAAGGTAAAAGTCATTCTTGGCTCATGGGCCATACGAAAACAGGTGGCAGGCTGTAGTTTGCCAACCCGTGTACCATAAACACTTCCTAGGAAAGACTACTGTCCTTCAGTTTCTACACTCAAAAGTGATTCTACTCTCAATTCCATTTTCCTTTACAAAATCCCCATTCTATAAAAAATATTCTTTAGACACTTGTTAATTATACAATTATGTATCAAAATAGCTATTACATTACATTCCATGTTCAGTTCCATGATACTTCATTTTGTAAGTTAACTCCCTAATTATGTGTAGCTTATCCATTTAAGAAACACAAATCGCCTTTTGCTCGAAATTATTAATGTACTGCTTTTAGGGGCAGAGTATTAAATTAATAACGTGTATTTGTAATAACTACTGAGGATATTTACGAACATCAGTTATGGTATTGCACTATGTATAGAGCACTTCTCAAGGACCACTGGTTGCCAGTAATTTTCAAAGTATATAGACTGTCCCTATACTAAATGGTCTAATTGCTTTATTAGTATTTTGGCTCAATTCGTCTTTCCCTTTCTCTTCATTTTATCACTTCTCAGTGCATCAATCATATCACCATATGTATATTAACATATAGACTTGCTATCTAATAAGCTTATTTTTATCCAGAATTATAAATTGGTACACTGTGACCTAAAGAGATTTCCTCTGCTATAAGTAGAGTATAAAAGCTTGTGTAGCTTTTCTTCCTTGTGACATAAACCATTGAAAATATTGCCTTTAATTTTATAGTTTCAGGTCGGGGAGAGGTTATCTTTTATTCTAATGTTACTTTCCAGGACAGTTAAGCATTTACCACTTGGCACTCCATGTTTGGTTTTAATTGTTCTTTTGAGAGGAAGGGTGTGGAGCCCTGGTGGCACAATGGTTAAGAGCTCAGCTGCTAACTGGAAAGCAGGCAGTTCGAATCCACCAGCTGCTCCCTGGAAACCCTATGGGGCAGTTCTACTCTGTCCTATAGGGTTGATATGAGTCAGAATCAACTCGACGGCAATGAGTTTTTGACGGGAAAAGGCTTGGTATATAAAGGAAACAATGGTTAGGAAGACCACATTGTAAAATTTAATATTCTATTCCAAGAACTGTTTAAACTCTCATAATTTTGTTAGATTAGTACTCTATTATCTTTAGCTCTTCAAACCCAAATGACTCAGACTTTCAAAAAGCAATATACAAAACCTGGCACATAATAATAGATGTATCATTATCTGGGCTATCATAAACCACAAAGCCCAATTTGTTGTACAGATAAGGCAATGAATTTTGATAAACCAATTAAAAAAACAAACATTATTTAACTTCTGGATACATTTTCTTAAGTGCTTTCGATGAGGGCACTTCTTATATAATCAGAGTATTTAAGTATGTGAGGGAAATCTAATCGACATGCACCTCAACAGAATGTCAAGAAAAACTCACTTTCAGAGAATCAAGTTATTCAACTCTTTCAAACTCCATTTACAAGGAAAACAGGAATGTTCAACCATGTACTAGTATATTAAGTCATCACAGAAGTCTTAAGTAAGATGATGAGGATTATCTTTCAGATATGATTTATTTATTATGGCAGTGCTAACTGTACTGCCAATTCATCTGAATTAAGGATAGTATTCGTTGTTAATGTTTCATAATAAAATAATGAAGTCCCATAATATAAGGCAACATTCAGAGACTAAATATATCTCTAAAATTTGAAAATTTCCATTTATATTAACAATAAAAAATCATGCAAAACATAATTCAAAAATACTTATGGGAAAATAGACTCAGTCTAATCTGCTCAACAAGGTTCTTTATAACATGAAATACTTAATTCCAAGTCGACTTATTTAAAAAAATACATCTTCTATATTTTAAAAACTATTCCAAAAGGGCCAAATTTGACACTTAACAACTTTAAGAATTCTGAACTTTAATCTGAAGACTTTAAGACCAGTCTGCATCCCTAATTCACACACTTGAAATAGTTACAAAATAGACTAGCTTTTATCTTTTGTGACAATAATTCTAAGAACTTAAATCTGCTTGGGTTATCAAAACCTAATTGACAGCCTGAGGCCTTTAGGCCTAGCTACACAGCTAGTCCTCAAACATCAGTAACTATCACCTGGAGGTTTGTTAGAAATGCAGGCCCTATCCCAGACCCACTGAATCAGAACCTATATTTTACAAGCACATCCAAGTGTGAGAAGCACTGTTCTAAGTCAAAACTTCACTCTAATCACAACTACCACAGCCTCCACCAGACTGAGTCCAGCACAACTACATGGTGCCTGGCTACCACCACTGACTGCCCTGACAGGGATCACAATAGGGGGTCCCAGATAGAGGTGGAGGAAAATGTAAAACAAAATTCTAATTCACACACACATATTACTGGTCTGACAGAGACTGAAGAAATCCTGAGAGTACGGTCCCTGGACACTTTTATAGCTCAGTAATGAAGTCACTCCTGAGGTTTCCCCTTCAGCCAAAGATTAAAAGAGGCCCATAAAACAAAACGAGACCATACAGGCACACCAGCTGAGGGGCAAGGACGAGAAGGCAGGAGGGGACAGGAAAGCTGGTAATGGGGAACCCAATGTTGAGAAAGGGAGTGTTGACATGTGGGGTTGGCAACCAATGTCACAAAACAATATGTGTATTAATTGTTTAATGAGAAACTTGTTTGCTCTGTACACCTTCATCTAAAGTACAAAAAAAAAAAAAAAAGAGGAAGA